TACAAGATCGGGACACACCCGTTACACAGAATAAAAAAAAGAAATTGACAGAAAAAGGAGGATGATACAGATAGACGATTCACATCGAGTTAGATCATGCTCTAGCATATGTGGACGAGNTTTATCACAATCCATCAAATGACTCCTAAAACTAGCAAAGCTGTTCATTCAATTAGAGCATTCTGTAGTCGTCATCCATACAGGAAGTGAATGTTGACATGTACGTCATTCTGGCCGAGTGGTCTAAGGCGCTGCGTTCAGGTCGCAGTCCTCTTCGGAGGGCGCAGGTTCGAATCCTGCGGATGACAGACACTTTTGCCGGAAAAAGATCGGGTTTTTTTGCGGCTATATATCGCGATCGCAAAGAAAGACTGTTGATATTTGTGCAACCCTATATGTTATAGCTATTCGATCCCTTCTCATCCCGTTCTTCAATCTACGATAATTAGCATTTCCTCCACTACTCGAACATTTAGAGGAGATCCTATCGAAATGCAACCCTAGTACAATATCCGATTTGCATTCAACTCTTCAGTTGGGTCGCATTAGTATCCTTGGAGTAGTAATCCGAGTTGCTGAACAGCCACAAGTCGTACACAGTACTTCAGGAGAATACGGTGGTTGAAGAACGATATTTGCGGAGCCTTCTACGAAATGCTAGCTCGCTTCCTTTTACGGACACCTTCCCATAATAGAGAGCTACTCTGAACGGCAAGTGCTCACAAAAATGAAAAAAAAATCGGATAAATAGAGCAGCTATTCAAAGTAGCGTTAACTGTGAGGGTAAAGACTGCTCGACTAGAGTCACTTTTCCTACAATTTTTCCCGGTTTCCTTCTTTCTTCGTTTCAGAAATTTTGTGAATGTTCTAAGAAGGATAAAACAGCAAAACGCAACATCTCTGATGATCAACTTATGGCAATTTATCTATTTTTGCATGACGTGCAATTTGTCGGTTTTGCGCTAGATTTAGCAAAAAGTAGATTTATTCGAGGATGAGTTAAACTATGAAAATAACAAATTCACGCCGTATTCGGACAGTACAATCAAACACAAATGTAAATTAAAATGAATTAAAGAATAAAAGAGTTAAACGAATACTCAAAGATGTCATATTAATTATCGATTCAAATGGTCAGTTATAAGCATGTAAAGCATGGGAGACGTCCGTCGAGCGAGTTCCACTGGAGTATCACCGGCACCGCTAGCTACGCCTATATCTATGCCTGGAGCTTGAAGAAGGTATCGAACGCTATGGAAGACGTTCTCGGCGTTTTCACATTGACTGTTGATGGCTAAGTGAAGGGCCGTTACGTTTCCATTAGAACGGGCATTCACATCAACACCATGAGAAATTAACCGTCCAATCACTTCATAATTTCCCCAATTGGCAGCTGAGTGAAGAGGCGTCCAACCCTGTTTAGTCCTCGCTTCTGCATCAGAACCGCGATCCAGTAGAAATGCAACAGTCTCCAGGTGATTGTTGTATGCCGCTCGATGTAACGCCGTGTAGCCGTCATCATCAGAACACGACAAAAGTTGGGGATCGTCCTCGAGCATAGACTTCAGAGCGTCCGTGTTTCCATTCTCAGCTTCTTTCAAAAACTTTTCTTTTGCATCGCTAAGATTACCCTCTATTATACCTTGGTCGTCCTCTTGCCATGCGGAAACAAACATTCCTGGATTGCGTTGTTTCGTTGATCGAATTTCTTCTATTAATTCCGGAGTGAGACCGAGATCGTTCATCTTCGCTTCCCGTTCATCCTCGCTTCTACTGATAGCTGTTTTTTCGCCCACGTCCATTTCAAGAATGGAGAGATCAACAAAAACCTAAACGTAAGGTAACTCAATGGCTGCTTTCAGACTTCGATGATTCTACCTGGTAAAATTCATTTAAATAAAGCAGTTTCACAGAAAACAATCGAAAGTACACTTATTAAGTAAACTTGTAAAGTACAAACTCTTACACAACATAAAACTGCTTGACATATAATTTATTTTACAGAACTTATCACAAAAATGTATAAAAGTCACTGGTTCACAAAAATTTATAAATTTCACTGGTCACTATAGCGCTGCAGTCATTTCCGGAACAGCTTTGAACAGGTCGGCCTTCAGTCCATAGTCAGCCACCTGAAATCGTATTTTAGCAAAAAAAAATCTGCAACCTCTAACACTTAAATAAGTACGTTCTTAACTCTGGCTCACCTGGAAGATCGGTGCATCAGGGTCCTTATTGATGGCAACGATAACCTATAAAATTACCGAAGTATATTATAAATACAGAATAGCTCACGAAAATTATACCTACCTTGCTATCCTTCATTCCAGCCAGATGTTGAATTGCACCAGAGATACCGATCGCAATGTACAACTCCTTAAAAGCATCTTCATAACACAATATGGAGCTTACTTTCCTGGTTTTCACTTTGATTGCAAACATCGAATAATTCAAAACTTCGCAATGTGGGCAAACACCTGATCAATAAAAAAGAACAGTTGAAACATTCTGCTGCACTATACAAAGCACCCCATTGTCTCCTCAAAACAGTAAGGGCTACCAATTAAAAAGTTATCGAATGGATCTGATGATCGAACGACTTAAATCGCAAAAATATTCTGATGAGAAACGGTCACATGGGGACCAAAACCCCTGTGCACTCAACAGTAAATTCAGACTTGACTAGACAGGCTAGAGAACATATTCAATATCAAAGAAAAATGTACTATAAATAGTAAAGGGAACAAAGCCAATGGACACCAAACAAAACCATCCAACATGATTTGCAGTTGGAATATTCATTACTGTGAACCTCTTCAAAATCTCAAGCTGTTCAGCTCGTAAACGAAGGTGGTAAAAGTGTCGAAAAACGAAGTTGAACCCGTTGGCCCTAGCACACGATCTTTCCCGTTCCTTCACTAGACTAGGTGAACAGGGTCAGCGGTCCGGTGGTTTTACAATGTTCCGCAAAAAAGTTCTGGATAAAAAGGGAGGAATGGACGACTGAATGCTCAAGGAGGAGGATTTTTCTACTCTCACGGTCATTTCCTCCCCGGGGCCTTTATCTTTGTTACATCCTTCAACGTGCTCATCCACTTCCCATTTAACCTCGTGTCCACTCACAATTACACTTACGGTAGGCCAACCCAAACCGGTGTTCGGTTTCTATCGGTTTTTCTAAAATTTGTCTAATAAGCTCCCTTTTTTGAGATGGAATATAAAAAAATGTACCATCGTTCTTTTTATACCTCTTTCCTTAGCCTTCACCATTTCTTACTCGCTAATTGACCGAAACATGATATCTATTTCTTGGAGTTAAAAAAAACAATAAAATATATCTTTTCCACCAAAACTCACAGGAGCGACAATCTTTCCTGTTTGTCCAACTTGCATGTCGTTGTGAACAAAGCCAGCATCAACAGCAGCACGCGATGCACCAACTCCAGCACCAAGTTTGTCGGCGAGGTCGTAGATAAGCTTAATCGATTGGTTATATCTTACATATCTTCCAGGGAAATAGTGGGTTTCCTGTTAACCTTGAAATTCTCAGCGCTCTTCACTCCTCGACCACCCGAGACGACAATTTTAGCTGTGGCAAGATCAGGTCGTTCTGACTTGCTAAGCTCCTGACTGATAAACTCGGAGAGGTCTGTCTTAACATCAGCAGCAGGAGCTGCAAAGTAGCAATTCAACTAGCAAATATCGTTACGAATGGAAATATATCGTAAAATAATGACAAACACAAAAGGAAACATTACCATTCTCGACGACACCGCTTCCTCCTTCTTCAGCTGGTGGGAAAGATGTGCCTCTGCACGTCATCACTTTAACTGGAGCTGTACTCTGGATCTGAAATCGTTAAAGAGTAGATATCGTGACTGGATGGAACTAACGGTTCCCTAATACACTTTACACAAACGAAAAATGGAACTTCTATTCTGAAACTTACCTTCGTTACTGCATTTCCAGCATACTGCGTTCGTGTGAATGTATCGGCTGAGTGAATCTTAAGTGAAAAACATTTCTTTGAAGCAAAAAAAAAACAGACGCTGATCGGGAGAGTCAAAAGCTTAGAGGTCAAACAAAAGAGCTTTTCACCAAATAACTGTCCGGCACATATTTGGCTCGCACTGCTTTTATTCACCAAAAGATAGTTCCTTCATCCTCTTGAAAAGAAGAAATATTTTTAAAAAATAGGTCAAGTACTCGCTCCGGAGCTTGAGGTATCTTATTTTCGTACTATGCAACTTATATTGTTAGAGAAGCAAATAGTATGAAAAACATCAATTTCGCTAAATATAACATATTCAGAAGAAGGATTCTCTAAGCGACCCTGATCTAATCTATCCCTATTCCATCACTCTCCACTTTCCACTTGCTCGAGCTCTATTCCCTTTTTCAATTTGGTAGACTACAGGTAATCGCGTAATTTGACATCCTTCGGGTTAAATGGAAAGCATTTTCATGAGCGTACTGCACCCGAAAGAAACATATTCAAACTCGAAGACCTCGCTTCTGCTCTTTATCAAAAGAAGAATCATGTCGAGTAAAATTTAAACGGGCAGTTACTGGAAAAGACCAAATCATCGTCGAAACCACTCAAATTACCTGGATAACTTCACTGATGGGTGAGCAGTCGAGTTTCGCTGCAACTCTCGGTATAATACCTCGGCCGAAAGCGGATGCGCCAGCAATAATGGATGAAAATTTGAACTGGTTGTGTGAGGCTAGTACAACAGGTGCGACGCGTTCTGGTAAATACCAAATTTTAATAAAGTAACACGACAACGTGAGTAAACACACTTACCAGGTAGATTATTCTTGAGTTTATCATCTTGAGCAACCAGTACTTTCTTCACACCCGCAATCTTAGCAACCTGCTCAGCGACTTTTGAAGCGTTTGCTCCGGTCACCAGGACAGACACATCGCTTCCGAGCTGAATTAACATTAACGAATTGGCCCGATTGCACCACAAAATGGAATAGTTCAAACAACTAAATTTCAAAATCTGATCCCAGAGGTTACTGAGAGTTTCCCTTCAAAAGCAGCTCCCATTCGATTATATATGGGAGGAACTCCTCATATTTCTTCCTTAACAAAAGCAAATTGAATTGCTTACAAACCTTCCCAGCAGCAGAAATGGCATTAAGCGTAATCGGTGCAAGTTTGGTTTCATCGTGCTCTGCTATAACAAGGGTGCTGTTGAATCGAAAAACCTGAAAAACAGAACCGTCTAGCTCATTTCAAACAATTCTGGCAAAATTACTTCTCATAATACCCCTATATTCATAACTTCCTGTCTATATACTCAAAATTAAGTCTTTTCGATCGAGTTGATGAATCTTTCAGGGAACCAGCGATGCATTGAAAAAAACCAAGATTCAACAGAAGCAAAAGCTGGCACTGAAAGACATAACGCAGCAAAATCGTCCTGATAACAAAAAAATGCGAGTTCTTGAAAGTACTGCTTGTCGACATATCTGACTAGGCACAAGAAAATAGATAGGCACCTAAGAAAGTGTAAAAAGATTGCATATTTCTATAGAACCCATGTTTCTCCTGATCACTCATAGGAAATTACATAAGTAAAATGGGAGATGATTGATCGACTAATCCGAGTTCTCACCAACTACCAGCTGCTCGCATGGCGGTAGTAAGCACGATTCTGTCTTGTGAGCAACTGGTAATGGTTGAGAACTGCAGAATATGAGCATGAGATTTGGGAGAGGACAGCTTTGGTTACCGTGAAGGCTGTAGGTGTTGTCACCATGGATGCAGTACGACGACTCCATCGATAGCATTAAATCAGTACAACATCCGTGGATATATTCCGGGTCCAGAATGAACTTCATCATTTTTGGCTTGCATTTCGGGTTTTCGGGTAAGACTCAATATAATTTGAGATTGACGATAAAGCATCTTTCAGCATAACGCAAATCTTCTCACAAATAGTGGAATGCTATTCAACTTACTCCATTTTGTCGTACAACTCTACCGAGCAGTGATCGTGTGGAAAGCATCGAATACCTAGGAAAGAATACTGATAAGTAGCGACGGCAGTAAAGAACATAAGAGAGAAAATACAACTTACCAAACTAAAGTACAAAGTTACAAAGGTTGTTCAAAATACAAAGTCCTTCTGCGGCACGCTATGAACACAATTTCACGTTGACATTACAGCACGTTTACTGATTAGCGAAGTTGGGTACAGTGGAGCCAAGTCACTTCGTTTTTCACTTAGTTCGACGCCATCCTCCTTAACTCAGAACAACGGTAACAAACAAAGAAAGTACGTAAACGTACGTTACGTAATATTGATTACTTCGTTAAGTTAGGGCCATGCATTCAACACTCTCAGAATGGTGTAGAAATCTAGGAATGTTCATTGACCTAGAACAGGTTCGAAAATTTGATAGTGTCCCTGACGCCTAAATTTTTATCGTTGTTATTTATTCAATGAGTGGAAAAGGTGGATGAGTCGCAACGAGAAGAAATCAGTTAGAGAACGTTTGGGGAGAAACCTTTCTAGACATCTCTCAATTGTAAAGTGGTTGGCCCTATAAGCTTCAGTATGGTCGAAACATGATCGAAAAGAGCACATCAAACTGAATGGAAAATGATTGCGGTGCGCACTCTAGAAAGGGATTTGGTTTAGCAGTTATGTATGTAGTCGATATAATGACAGCTAGTGAGTTGTCCCGCAAACATATTAGCAAAGCAACCATGGGTTCTCAATGGGAGGATATTATTCAGGTGATAAGCTGTAAAGAAATCCCTTCATGTATCAAGTTGTAGTCGTTTCTGCGAGGAATGGGAGCAAGACGGAAAAACCAATGAAAACATTGTGTCCAGAGTCAAAGAACTTATCAGTAACCGCTCTACTATTCTATAGCTTGCGGAACACCTAGTTGCTAAAAGTAATACCATTATAAGTACATAATTGAGTTCCTAAACGAAGGTTATTTTACACCTGAGAATACCATAAAAACTGAAATTATTAAATAAAGCTGAATAATGGGCAGATGTAAATGAAACAATTAGTTTCACCACAACTGGCATGATTTTCGGTATCTGATACATTCAAACATGCAGCTCAACGGTCTAAATATGCGTAGATCCTAAAGAGATCCTGATTCTCAGGCATCACCGAACTCGCCACTTACTTACGGCAGGTTCCGATTTCCTCCAACTGCGAATGCGATGTGCTGTGAAGATCGACATGACACTGACAACTATCCTTCAATGTGACAATGTAGTCTTGGTTGCTGGGATTATAGAGGATCAAAAGTGAGGACTAAAAAGGATAAAATGGGATCGTAGTATTCGGGAACGGAAATACTGCATCCCAAACAATAGTAGAACCGCGGCTATTTAAACCGTAATAACGACAATTGTACACAGTTGTACATAGCCAATTTTGGAAGTTCCCAACACAATCAGCACCACCCTGTCTTCTTAACTCATCATTTTTGAGTTGATCCAAGATTTACATCGAAGAATGCTATCTTTTGACCACATCCAAGACCATACAAAACACGGCTTCATGTTCGATGACTACCTAGCATAATGGGTTCCCATAGCATGTGTCCGAAAGAGCAACTACGACTTGGATTGGAAAACGAATTGATGGCTCACCTCAGGGAAACATTTGATGGGCATCAAGACACACCTGGTATTGTCGTAGCTTCACATTTTGAATTTAAACGAGAATTCGGATAGAAGTTCACGAACAGTCATCCATAACAGAACTCGAAGGAAGGGATAAGATCAGGTATGAATAAATAGACAAATAAATAAATAAAAACACAGATAAGCAAACTACGATGCTATCACGTTATCTCGAATAATATCGCTTCATTGCTTGAAAAGCCCTTTCCACACTCACCAGTACTAACGTCATACTCACAGTTAACTGGATTGGCAAGTGAGTTCTAATACGATTAGAACTAAGCGTGCGCTCGCGTCGCGACTGGTTTAATTGTGCAGCCTTTATATACGTAGTGTGAACACAAAGATCCCCGTAACAACTTGGCGTGGGTAAATTACTAGAAGTTCCAGGTAATTTCACAAATGTTGGAATTGTAGAAACATCTAGAAAGTGAAACCAACCTAACAATCCGAAAAATCTCGGTTGCCGCGTCCTCCTTCACCCAGTCCTCACTTCGCCAGATCGATACGTATTTAAGACTGATACCGCGAATAAGATAGCCCTCCAAATATGCACAATACCCCAGACATCGTCCCGACATATTTCTGCGCAATATCTCGCCTTTATTTTTTAAATAATTTCAGAAAACTGTGATTCACGTATCTTTACTGCATAATTATTAGAGTCGGCAATTCGCAAATGTCTACAACACCTTGATTGTCAACTAATAAGCATTTCAATTATTACTGTGGGACGTCCTCAAGTGAGTTTGAATATTTACTGATTTCCCATTCAGTGCAATTTACCACTGTTTTCTAATATAACATAGCATGCAAGTGGATCACCGAGCCACAACTGCATGAAAAGAAGCAACATCACTTAGGAATTATCGATTTATTGATTCTCAAAAACTGCGAAAACTCTGAGAACAACCCGAGATCTCATGAAGCTAGCGACACAGTGCTATTTACGGTCTACAAGATCGGGACACACCCGTTACACAGAATAAAAAAAAGAAATTGACAGAAAAAGGAGGATGATACAGATAGACGATTCACATCGAGTTAGATCATGCTCTAGCATATGTGGACGAGTAGATGGGGATGTCATACGTCAGGATTGGGATAGAACATTCTAAAACAAGTAATGGTAACCGTGCCCTACCATACTGGTTGAAAGTAGAAACGATATATCAAGACAAACAATAAAGGAGAGTGGAAGAGCTGAAAGGGGAGGTACATACCGTCGAACATGCTTAGTATGGTATCGTTTAATTTCGTTGAGAATACAAATCAATTATACAGTGTAGTATATCATCATAACGAACAATAACGAATGCGATAATGCTATAGAGTAAAACAAACGTAGTCATAACAGTAAATGTGAGTGCTGAGCAGTTGGTCTGATACTCGTCGACGAGGTGGAACAACATTTTGCACGCAGTAGAACCACCAAACACCATATTATACGATAGAATTTCAGATAAAACAGTTCAAAGTAAAAAAAACAGTCACGTACATGAACGTAATAGAGCATATTAAAGAAGCCAGTCATGAAACGGTGAACAGTGAGCTGAATATTCGACAGTTATTGGAAAAGAGCTATACATAAAACGTTTGCGGAGTCAGTGCGACAATATTCCTCAAAATAACGAATGCGACAGCCTTTCGAAACTACAGAGCCTTGCATACCTGGGTTCTTCATACATCCTCGATCCCTCATTCCCCTCCCTTTAAGTTAGTGACAATGTTGAAATGGATGCTAACTAGATGATTTCAAAGACCGAGGAACAGACGTGGCTGAACAAGGAAGGCTGATGCGCTGGAATGAGCAGGGAAGGGAGCCCGCGATGGATGGACTCCTTCTATCGGCAACAGTCCCGCGACAATTCCCCTGTTTCGACCTGCACCGCCCACATCATCCTAACAGATACTGAACATTCAGTACTTTGTATGAAGGAAATAGAAAGACGTCGTTGTAAATTTGACTCTTCTAATCCCATTCCCAGAGACGCTTCAACATTAAAAGACAACCTATTCAAAGGGTACTTTCAGACACTGCTCAATCTTCCCGCGTCAACATCCATTCTCCTCAACTGTTTCCTGAGTGTCGCCCCAACTCCAAAGAATATCTCTACACATCCAGCAGCTAAAACGTCATGAAGATTTTTACTAGATTGGTCACAGAAGTACTGTTAATGGAAGCCTTAGCAAGGATTGCAAACTATAGCCCTCCTTACAAAACCAATATACACAGCAAACCAGCAACGCTTTGCTCTGACTAGAACAAAAGGTTATCAAATGCAGTTGGGACGTAACAGTGAATAAAACGAATGAAGTCCCCAACAATGCCTGCTGCATCATCGCCAGGGCAAAAGTAACAAATCTACCTACTGGGCGTTTCGGACTGTTTGGGAGCTTTATGAATCATCTCTTTTCTTTTTGCTAAGCATTGGACATAAGCAACACACAGAGAAGTCGAACTACGAGCAAGATCAAAACTAAAGATTAGCGATGCAATAGCAAATCGATCGTTAAATCACTTCGATGATGTGTCAAAAACACGTTTAGGCTAGGCAGATTGCAATTCATATACATCTGACCTATCCGATCTTTTACTAGTTTGGTTGTTTTGTCGTGACGTCATAGAAAATAAATAGTAAATCTGCGATGAGCACCAAAAACCAGCAATAAGAGACACCAGTGAGAACACGTACACTTACGACGCAACCGACACATTTTCTTCAGCAGCCTGTGGTTTCTGTGGTGAAGGTGGTGGTTGGCGCTCTTCTTTTAGGCTTGCTGATGACCCAATTTGGGCAGCAACGCTTGTCTGTGGAGTAAGAGGATCGGCAGGTCGTGGCGAGTTTGTCGCAGACGCTTGAGCTGCACTGAGTGCACCATTTGATGGATTTCGCGATGGAATTGAGACGTTCATCTGAAGCGATGATTATGGATTATCATCTACACATCGCTGTGAAAAAAAAACTGCTACCTAAGATAGCCTCTGATATAAACTAATAAAACCCCCATGCCATAAAAATATGTACTCATATGCGTAAACATGAGATGCTCAATTAACAGAAACAATAAGTAAAGGAATATGACGCGAGGGAAAGGGAAACTGCAAAGTACAACCTTGAAGGCCTTTACATCCGTACTCAAAGCTGTTCATCAGCGGAGATTAATTGCTAGGAAATCATAGGAACTCTAACGTTTTAATTTCTAAGTCGTCTTTGGACTACCAGTTTTGAGTTTTGCTTGTGCAGTACGTGATGGAATTTTAAATCATTCTCATGCGCTTTTCCTGCTATGATTATGAGTGCAAAGAAAAACAAATTAGAGAGATAGATAAAAGTAAAGAAAAAACTTGGTAAGTAAAATGAAAGACAAAAAGTCATTGCGGAAATGCCAACCTGTGGCGTGAGCGCATGAAAAGCTGCCGCGGCTTGCGCTTGACTCATCGGCGGTAACATCGGTGCCACCATGCCGTTCATCGCATGTTGCATTGCCATTCCGGATGGCATCGGCATACCAGGAATTGGCATACCCATTCCAGCAGCCATCATCATTTGAGCTAGAAATAGGAAGCACGAGGTTTTCAAAATTTCAGCGAATAAAAAGGGATGTCATGAATTCGAAGTTCTATGGTAATAGTTTAGGTTTTACCTTGTAACATGGCTGCTTGTTGAGGTTGCATATGCATCGCTGCTGCCATTCCAGGAGGCATACCAGCCATACCGGCGGCAGCTGCAGCTGCAGCCATACCATTTGACATCGCATTTTGAGCACCGTTCGGTACACCGTTAGGTTTCGTCATTCGAGGAGAGGCTGTGGCTCCTCCAGGCATACCAGCCATACCCATACCCATCATCATAGGATTCCTAAATTATGAAGTGAAAAATTGCCGCTCTTGTTTAGAAACTCCAAACAAAAGTGTCCCAACAAAGCATCAGCGGCCTTCAGGGTTATTCATTTTTCTGTGGAAACATTTGTCACCACCCACTTGAAATCAACGGTAACTAACAACAAAGAAATAATATCATAACAAGGTAAGTAATCATTGTTCAGGTTATTTTGTTAACTGATAGAAAATGAATGGAATACGAAGAGGAATCCATGATTTACGAGTATATCGCGATTATGTTCGGTCTCACTGACTCGACGAATTCGTTTCTTCTCAATTGTAGAAGAGCACAAATACACAATTACATACTTACATAAACGAGCGTTACATTTTCTAATCAACCGCTTCTAAAAAGTAGCACATAGTTTTGCATTGCAACCAGATCTCTTTTTTGCCTAAATAAACCTCTTTCACTAAATGCCAATGTCTGAACGCCAGCTTCTAGGGCTTGGCAATCTCATTATCTTGAAGACTTTCCGAAAATCTTAACGGCCCATCTCACGCTATCGAAAACCAAAACGAACAATTCAAAACAGTGATCAGACTGACAGCCTCAACTGACAGAAAAATGGAAGCGTCATCACCGGTGGACGCGAGAGTAACTATAGTCACGACTTCTCTTAGGCTAGACAAAAGAACCTAGCTGATAATGGGAAACTCACACTTATAAACGCAAAAAGAATCCATACATAACAGTTTTCTCCTTTCAGTTATGTCATAGTTATTTACAAAGAATTGTCATGAAGGAAATCGGCATAGCAGATTGGGCTCGAACTTCAAAAAAACCGAGATTTCTCCAAACGGCAATATTGTCTTTCATTGCTTTCATCTCAGGCCTGTTGATCGACACTCCGAAAATAAAGTCGACAAAACTTGTCCCAAGTTTTTTAAACTCATATAATCACCAGAGCGTAAGTTAAGGTGAAGCTGATAATAGCGGCGATTCTATTAGCCAGTAAAAGCACCCAAGACAACTCTCTCCCTCTTTACCCTGATAGATAAAGTTAAGAACTGTATAGTAGGGTGCTCAGTAGGTTGGCCATATTCCGCAAGTACTTTCCACCGGTTTATTGGAATAATTTACTCATACTTCAAGTAACCTTGTCTCTGAAAAAATTAGAGAGATAATGGGATATGAAGCTTAAATAACTTGACGATATTGCGATGTAATTTTTACTGCGAGTCTATAGTAGCACTTGCATGAAACGTACTAAAACCTTGCACGTTATTTTCTAACGTTATTGGGCTTGCTTTGTTGCCTTTTTGCGTTAATGTTTTTTGCATAAGACCTGAGCATGGGGATCATTTGAAGTGAACAATGTGTGAACGACAAGCTATTTTACACATTACAATAAACAAATTCGTCGAAATTTCCGGAACATAGAAAATAAGAAAAAAGTTATGCGCTACAAAGCACAAGAATTCACACAACATGGAACACTAACCTGGCCATCATCATATTTGGCATTCCTCCCATCAACATTGCTGCTTGTGCCTGTTGTGACTGTGTCTCATCACGTCGGATTTTCNGAAACAATTTTCCTTAAAACATCACACTAACCCATTTGATATAGATAGGTAAGCTGAGCGTAGGGATTATTTGAAGTGAACCGTGATTGAACGACATACCATTTCCGATCAGTACAATAAGCATACTCTTCGAACTTCCAAAAAATAAGAAAAAAAAACCGTATGCTATAAAGCATAAGAATTCACATAACTTTTATCACTAACCTGGCCATCATCATATTTGGCATTCCTCCCATCAACATTGCTGCTTGTGCCTGTTGTGACTGTGTCTCATCACGTCGGATTTTCTCCAATTCCCCCAACGCGAAAGCCTAAAGAAGTCCCTCAATAAAACACTTGTCAGCGACGAAATGGCTTTCGCAAGGGCTGACGAATGAGTTCTTTCATGAAATTGATTACGATGAGGCAATACTAATCAACGCCGGCGTTGAAATTTATGGATTATCGCTTGGAAATTAAGTACAGCAAATCTTTCATCGATTATAGAGGATCTCACTTCATCACGTCATTTTTCCTTGCAGTGACGTAACCTTAGTTTTTTCAATAGATTAGTAGATTTATTGTAATTAGTGACGAAAAATCTTCCTCGAATGCATAACATGACGGCAACACTTATTCCATTGCAATGCTAAGGTCATATTTGTTCAAGACAGGAATAATAAGAAAAAAAATAACGTTTTTCCGATTCTGCACTGAAACATCTTATCATCGATCACATTTACATTCGCAAACCTGAATTAGAGATTACTATTCCATCCGGACCAAGAAACACTAAATTATTGATGCTTAGGTCAATTATTCCACACATGCATGCTAAATGAGAATCGAAGTAAGTGAGGCGCGAACGCAAACGTGAATTCTGAGTAGGGCAATATATAACTCCAGTCGCACATAAATTGGACGGCCTTTGGCTTCACGAGCACAATTCAAAATAAATGAGCTGTATTCGTTACAAATGCTCATGAAAGGAAATAATGTGAGTACCTTCCAGTACCGCAATTCCTATTACATGACTATCACCTCTCTGAAAACCAGATTCCCTATATACTCAGGCAGAAAACAACAATAGCGACATTTTCTATCGCTCAATAAACCAGTAGGCAAACACCATTTCCTATCGATTTACTGAGAAAAAAACACTAAATATACAAATAGCAAGCATTCCCAGGATTTGTTGCTGAATACGCATGACTATTTTCAACACATTTTATGTTCCTAACCTTGAAACAATGATAGCTATTACAAAATACAAATTACTGACAGCGCAAGAATTACCTGATACTCTGGTGGCAGCATTGGCAAATAGCTCGATATAATGTGATGTAACCGTTTTGTAGCCTCCTGGTTTTTGACCATTTCCATCTGAAAAGAAGCAAGTTAATTGAATGTGCGCAACTGCATCGACTTCTACGCCGAAAAGCCTTCACTTTAAATACGAACAGAAGTTGATAAACACTACACACAGCAAAAACTTATGAGAAAGAAAGTTTAAAAAAACTCACTTGACTTTGAAGGGCTTGTTCACTCAAAGCGTTAAGTTGTTGTTGAAAACTTGTCGTGTCCTGAAGCATTTATATCAAATACTATCAAATTCTCAAATATGAAAAAAGCATGAAGAAGGGAGACATTGAGGAAGACCAAAACTTGAACAGTGCACAAAAGCTAGTAAATTTTGAAACTGGAAACGAAAACCTAAAAGCAGCCCTTTAAATTAAAGAGAAGTATAGCGAAAAGTCGAACGGCATCATTTTTTTATACAATCCTTCATGGATTGAAGTATTCACACCTACTGTCGCCAAATTGCGCCTGTTTTACGAAGAAAGTAAGCGACCGCATTACCTCAAACTTTCGCCTACATGGGCTAGAAAAAACATCGTTTCACGCTTCACTTCCATTCAATTTGCTGAAGTAACGACCCTCTAATTTGGAAGATGAGTACGTAATGAGGAGACTTTTTGAAGTCAACCCAAAGAATCGATCAAATACTTCCTTCATTCCTCGCAACTAACTATTGTGCCCAATTTCTAGTCGAGCTAAAGCATTATCTAACCGCCAAACAGATGAGCTACCCGATTCAACAGCTTGTGGAGAAAATTTCCTTTACATAAGTGATACGAGGGATCATATACAATATTGTAAGCCGTGTTATCACTTTTGATCATCAGCAGCACTGTAACTTTCAGAAGTAACAAAATCAATCAATTTCATGCATATCTGGGGTTACTTCAAATACCTAGCCAATCCATACAACACCCATAAACCCACCATCTTCACCTTCTCCACTTCTTGTTTGCTCATTTGTAATTGATTTGCCAACACTGTCATTTCTTTCCGGACCGCTTCTAAATGTTCCCCACAAGAGAACGACATCGGATGTTCTGAAAAATGAAAACGATGAAAAATTATTCCTTCACATAAAGGGCAAGGCAACTATTATACGACGCGGGTAATACCATAAACATAGTATAGATCGGAGAAAGGATCATTAACAGGGACAGTTTCGACAACAAGTTCAACCAATAATTCGACACACCCTCTTTTCGCAAGTCATGCTTTAGACCGCTGACACCCTGAAAACCAGTATTACATAAGAAGTTAAATGAAGCTCTTAATCCCCTGGCCTTCAAATCCATCCATTCATCATATACACACTAATCCTTTTATCAGCCTCCATAGAATTAAAAATTGAAAAAAGCTCTTCTAAACAAGACTTGGAAACAAGAACTCTCTTAAAAAGGAACTCGTTTAAAGTCAGTACAACCGGTCTCAATCAAAATGAAGTCCAGAAGTAATTCACAACTGCTGATCTAAGACTAATGATAACTAGTTAACTAGAAGCGGCAGTCACGATATCAAAGCACAGAATCGTCACAACAAACGAGTGAAAAAATATAAGCTAAAAAACACGACAACATGGTGAAAGAAAACAAGCCTCAGCACTGTCAGTAACCCTTGAAGAACGGGAGAGCTCGAGTAATACCAAGAACAGAACAGCGAAAAAACGAAAAAACACTAGATTCCTTCTTTTGCGACACCAACGATGCAAAAAGACAAGAAACATGTGGCGCGCTGGGAATTCGAACCACTGTAACGACTTGGTGTAATTGCACGGAAACTCACAAATCATCTATTTGACGGGAAAAAAAATCCCACGCACAGCACATGCGCATCAAAGCACTTATGCCGTGATCAATAGCTCAATCGATCAATCAATCAACGAGAACTGTGAATGGATGTTTTTAAGTAATGACANAAAAAAACGACGCTCTCAGACAAAGTAGGACCGAAACCGGTTTGTCGTCAGGGCGGCGGCATCGACAACGACAACGATGACGACGACGTCGACCTCTGGCTGTAGGAAAGGTGAGTGCATGGAAATTTCCTTCTCAACCCCGTTATCGCCATTCGAAATCAGGTACAAAGGCAAATAATCGCTGAAGCGCGAATACGATTACGATCGCTTATTGGGTATCGCAGCATATAATCGATGTCGTAAAGAAGCGGTCGCGACAATTATGCCTCCTACTTCAGCTCCCGTAAGCATCAGCACCATCTTCGATACCGCCGATACGGCCACTACCCTTGAAATACATCAAACCCAGATGGTCAGATTACTACATTCAGCTGGTTATGTAAAACCACTGCTACATCCTTTGCCTCATTGATTGGAAATTATGAAAAAAACAGTGGAAAGTTAAATCTTGGATCATGGAATCCAAGTTCTGACCATTCGTAATTCTTACCATCTCACCGTATCCTACCTATCAATTTCTATAAACCAGACCATAATTAGAATACAATAAACTATCCTTCAGGGTACTACCGAAGGATCCCTGACAGCAAAAAGAAAATCATGTGATTAATTCATCTGCTTTCAGAACAAAAATTCATTCCCAAAGCATTTGCCTAGTTCGAGTTCACATATGTCGGGTACGTGGCCGGCGCGGAGGTGAAGAGGCCAGGCCCTTTAAATGCATTTAACCCAACACAAGACGTGGTGACAATTGGTGAAAGTAGAAATGTTATCACAGAGTTTTAATCAACTTTTCAATTTGAAGCCACCACATACGCGCCCCTGAGCAGGCGCAACACGAGTAAAACTTGAGGTCGCGCTCACTTTTCAACGCTCACTGACAGGGTCTTTGTCTTGGCACGTGCGTGATATGGCCTGAGAACAAGGTCTCCTCAGAAACTATTCGCTTTACCTGCCATTCCCAATTAATCCCCTAAATTGACTTGAAAAAATTCTTTATATTATTCTAAGTATTCACAAACTGCTATCATATCCTATCACATGATAATAATACGCAGCAGAACCGCGTTCGCCGGAACATCCAGTCAGTACTATGCGGGGAATGAATTATCGTGTGGCAACTCGTACTACAGGATAATTCTTCGATCATTTAATATATAAAATGTGGAATCATTAACCTAGAAGATGGATGGTGTCAATGAAGCAATAAGATCGGATAATTGGGACATGG